CCCTCCCCCCCTCCCCCCCACCCCCCCCCCAACCCCCCCCCCCCTTCCATCTCCCCCCCCCCACCTCCCCCCCTCCCCCCCCCCCAGCCCCCGCGGACCCCCCCGCCCCCCCCCCCCCCCCCCCCCCCCCCCCCCCCCCCCCCTGCCGCGCTCGCAGAGATGGCGTCCAGGACATCGTGCGCTGGATGAAGGCATGCGGCCACGAATCCGACGACGAGGAGGAGTTGATGAAGCAGTCCAGGGATGCGACCGCTGTCCCCGCGAAGAAGCGCGCGCGCTGAAGGCGGTTTGGTTTGGTGGGGGGGGGGGAGGGAAGGGGGGCGTGTTGAGGATGGCAGGAGGGAGACATTTCGCGTTGCACGACGGTTAGATAAATCGCCTTCAGCGTCGAGGGGCGGAAAAAAAGGGGTAGGGGGAGAGAAGGGGTGATGACTTGAGGGTGCATGTTATTCGCTCTTATGTATCCTGTCACGGGGTGACCCTCGTCTTCTAGCATGTTCATGGGGTTTGTCTTGAACAGGGGTAGGGGGTCGCGTTGTGGGCTTGCAATGCTGGGGCACTGTGTGCACGGCATGCTACTATCTGCGCATGCTTCGCTGTGCCGCTGGTTTTTGGAACTGCCCCAACAATTTGATATTGTCATGATGTTGCACGTTTTTGCCGAACACACGAAAAATCACGACCCTCCCCCAGCCCGGCGTTTCAGGCCCTCGCCAAGGAGGCCAAGGCCCACAAGAAGGGCAAGCCGAAGGGCACGTTCGGGGGGGACAGGCTCAGGAGCATGAACCACCCTGTGCTCGGCACGCTGAAGGTGACGTACGCGTCGCAAAAGTCGTACATCTGCTCAGTTGATCCCGTCGCCAAGAAGCCCAAGCTTTTTCTGGAGGTCTCTGCTAAACATAGCTCAGAGCACGCGCGCATTGCCGAGATGCTTTTAAAGTCAGCGTGCAAGGGGGGCGGGCTTGACAGGGCCTGCGCAGTTAAGTTGCGCGTCAAGATGCTGCCTGCGAAGTGAAGGAAGAGGTGTCGGTCCCAGGGCACGCGGGTCCCAGTCCCATATAAATCGAGAAACACAAGTTCAGAACACAATCCACAAAACCGATGTAAACTCAGAGGGGTCCGAAATCTGGCGCGATTCACGGCCGACAGCTAGGTCAGATCGCGTGCGTGAGTTTATCTTCGATGCGCAATGCGCGGTCGTTCGCGGTTGCGAAGGATGTCAAGTTGCAGGTCGCGCCCACGGCCTAGCCAGGTGGGCGCCGGTTTGCAAGTTCGAGCGCTCAGTTTGCGCTCGTGTGCGGAGCGGAAAGGATCGAGATCAATTGCGTTCGCTACGCTTCTTGTTTTCTCTTTGTCCAGGTCGATGGGGGGAGGCGCTTGCACAACTATATTTGTTGCTCGTTCCCCGTTCGCCGCAAATCTCGCCAAATCAAGATTATTCTCTTCGCCCCCCCTTAAGTTGTTCGCTCCGCACATTCCACCTCTTCCCTCATTCGCTGGGTGCTCTCCAAGGTGATCCCCAATATTTCGCCCCATCACCACTAGAGGGTGATAATGACGATGTAGAGGGCGAAGAGACGGAGGGGGGTCGACTGTTATCTGAAGGGTGCGCTTTGCTCTGTCAGGATATATAATTGTTGGGATGCTGTCGCACATGAGCTAGCAGTTCGGAATGAATATTTCAGTTGGGTCCATCTTGGTTTCGCTGATGTGGGTTTCTCGTGTCTGCCATGACGAATTGCGTTGCGTCGCTGAGGTTTGAATGCGCGAAGCTCCAGATGATTCAATACTAGTGTCAGACAGTTGGGGAGATGTCAGATTGTGCAAGCCACATATCAAATCGATTGGTGTTGATCATATGCATTGCACATGTACGATTCAACTTGTGTTACATCCACAATTTCGCATACCGTCTACCATGCTTACATGCGATATGCCCGTGCCCGTTCAGCTCTGTATGTTTTCAGTTTCAAATCGATTTGACATATTTGTTTGTATGTACAAATATATATTACCTGATCATTCAAAATTAATTATTATGTTTCAATCTATGTTTGCATTGAATATTGAAATGTTTTCGTTTCTGTAGATACATGGTCATATGAAGATGATCTGTCGACGCACCATCTTCAGAGCATATGGTCTGAAGAAGATCTGAAGATGCCATCTTCAGACCATCTTCAGATATGATCATCTGAAGATGGCATGTCGACAGATCATCTTCAGATCTGAGACCAAACGCAGTTGATTATCGCTGAACTTAGTGTATAATGTTATTAGTAGCGCTTATACTACATATCACATTTAGATATATACATTAAACAACATTTGATCATAATTCACACAATTGATAATTGATATATATATATTATGATAATATATAATATAATAATATATATATATATATATATATATATATATATTGTTGATTGATGATTATAATACTATGTCCATGTATATATGAATCTAAATGTGTTCTGTGTGTTCGTGTCTCAGCACTCCAGTGAAATAATAACTCACTGTAGTGTGCTTTCACGTTGTCGCATCACGCCCGTGCCACGTCCGCACCCAGCTTCAGCGGGGAAAGCTTCGGGATTCTGTTCCAGGGCCCCAGGTTGACCCGAGGCACCTGCTGGGGCCATGGCGCCGAAAGCTGCGAAGGGGAAGCTCGCAGCTGGCGTGAAAAATGATATGTAGCTGGCAATGTGATGTTGTGCACAACCTCCCCCTAACCCAATCGAACCCGTGGGTCCGAAACAATTGCGACGCCGTGTGTCTCGTTTGGGTCCTGGTTTCCCCGCGCAAGGCCCTTTGAGGCCGACGGTTTCTGGATGGAAGTACGCATGCGAGATCTGATGGGGCATCGCGCCATCTGAGGGGCACCTGAAGGCGGCGGGGAAGGGCAAGGCCAAGGCCAAAGCCGCTGCCAGGTGGAACGGGCCATTGCGTAAACTATTGTTCCCATGGACATGACACGCACAGTGCCACTCTGCACTGGCATGGGTAAATCTCAACGAATCCAAGGGCTTCTGGCGGCATCCGAGGGCATTCCAGATAGAGCATCCACGACATTACAGACCTAAGGGCTGTCCATTCCAAGATTTAGATGCCACCCCTTTCCGACGCCTCAAGTATTGCCCTCAACAATCCCAACTCTGATGTGGCCCTTTCCCACGTCACCCATAATCCCCCCATGCCACAATTCCTCCGCTGCCCCTCCTCCGCTGACCCTCCGTCTCCTCCTCCACTGCCCCTGCTCCTCCTCTCGCTCTCCTGCCGCCAATGCGCCCCCCCCCCCCCCCCTCCTCCTTGCGCTGCCCGTTTTGGCTAGACCCTGCGCGCCTGGCCGCCGGGCGGGGCGCCGATGGAGCCGCGGTCGAGAAGAAGACCCAGGGGGCGGCGTGGGCCGACGCTCAGATCTTGAAGGCTTGCGAGGCCAAGACTATCGACGAGAAGATGGATATTTTTCGGAGACTCGTTTGTTTTTTGTCCTGTCATGGGTGTTGGCTGGAGGGAGCGGCGGCGCGCGTGTCCACCTTCTTCGCCAATTCACTGCGTGATGCGATTTGGTCTGCGGGCGTTTGTTTGTATAGTTCTGATGTTGAAAATGATGAACTAGCGCGTTGGCTTTGCACGTGGGTTTGCAAAACGACGTTGACTAGGATGCACGTTCAGACGGTGAATGCCAGAAAGCAGCAAGGGCTAGGTGAGGGTGCAGTCGCAGAGAGAGAATTGCATGCACCGCTACCAGTGCGCACGGCAGCATGGAGAACGTGAGCCTGGTCAAGCAGATCGTCAGCGAGTCTGACATGAAGTGCTTTTTTATTTTCTAATTTGTCTTGTTCTGTCGTCTGTATTGCTGTCGTGATGTGACAAGCCCCCCGTCCGTCCGCGTGAAGTCTCGTTCGCGCCCCTTGGACGGTTACGCGTGCGCCGAGATGGTTTGTCCGTTTGTGCAGGTGCCCGATGATTCCCGTAAGAGTCAATTGCATTATTGTCGTTTGTTGTGCGTTCGAATTCTAAGCGCTTCGCGCACCCCCACCAGCCCGCCCAGACATGAACCCCAGGGGGGGGGAGGTGATGAGGGGGGCGGGGCGGGTGGGTGGGATGGGGGGCGGGCTAGGGCACGCAGAAAAACAAAGGCGGGGCAACCCGTCCATATATCCCAAGAGGGGGGATGTAGGAGGAGCCGTCGTCGTCGGAGTAGGAGGGGGAGAGGGGGGGCAGGGGGGATGGGGGGTCGGTGCGAGGAGGGGGGGGGGGTGGGGGGGGGCGGGCGGGGGGGGGCGCGGGGGAAGGAGGGGGGAGATGAGGAGGAGGGGATAGGGGGGGGGCGGTGACGCGGAGGACGAGAAGGAGGGGAGGGGGAACGAGGGGGGGTGAGGAAGGGGAGAGGGAGGGCAATGGCGAGTTTGGGGGCTTCCTGGGCAGTCTTTGGGGCCTCTTGGCGGTCCTGGGTGGCCCCTTGCGCATCCCGGGGAGCCTATTGGCGGGGCCATGTTGGATGAGGTATATCAAAGAGGGGGGAGGGGGGCGGCGGTGGGGGTTAGCGATGCCCCTCTAGAGTGCCTCTTGGGCACCAAAAAAAGCGAAACTCCATCCAAAACCTAGAGGGATCAATGTGTAGTTTGCTTTCCAGCCTTTTCGCCCTGGGAGCCGTCTTGGGCCATCTTGGGCGCCCCAGCGACCCGCGGAACCCCTCGCGCAGGTCCAGGGGGGGGGGGGGGGGGGTATGGGGAGGGGGAAACCACTCCAGAGGGGGAATAATGGTGCTGGAAGAGGGAAATCTCTAGACCGCCGAGGGCTGGTGGGATCCAAAGGGTTGTTAGGACTCCCTATGCATTGCAACGCCTAGGAAACATTTAGCTTCCAAGTGCTTTGTGGCCCCATGGGTCACATTATAGTAATGGTTCGTGGTGCCCCAGGGGTAGCACATGTTCCAAGCCGCGCGAACCAAATCTATCGCCCAGGGCTCTCTATGGGCGCTTCAAGACTGCCAGGAATAACGCCGAGAACGGCGAGCAGGCAGAGGCGCAGTGGAAGCAGGTCGAGGCCGGCGCCATCAAGGGCGCCTCGAAGTACGAGACCAAGGCGAAGATGCTGGCGGCCTTCATCGTGGACCCGAGCTTAGGCCAGCGCTACATCCGCTACATGCAGGTGTCGTGGGCCATCAGTTGGCAGGAGGACATGATCAGGTCCGACGAGTGGCCGACCGAGAAGCAGTTCTACGACCACTACGGTCAGAGCGAGGGCGAGGGGATGATCAACGATGATCCGGTGACGGCCCGCCCCTTTTTTGTTTCGCTGCGCTGTTGCCAGCGCCGCGGCCGAATCGCCCAGAGTGCGTCGCGAAGTTGAGCTGACCCCTGATGGTTGAATATCTGTTTCTCGCTTGATTTGCTGCGATTTCTCCAGATGTCGGGCGCTGCGTTGGTGTTCTCAGCTCTGTCGGGCAATATTACATTTATGCGCGCCCCCTCTGTTGGACCTTCTGCAATATGTCGTAGCAGGGCGTGACTGCGCCACCTTAGTTGATCAGAAAAAGTAGCGCCAGACGCGGCCCAACTCCGACAGCCCGAAGAGAAAGCAGCACTGCGTGCGCAAGGACACCCATCAGAAAAAATAGTGGTAGGAGCAAGCAGATGTCGGGGAGCCAGGGTGACAATGTCGACGCAGAGCAGTTCAACATGCTCGGGGAGGGCATGGAGAAGTTCCAGATGTCCCAGGATCGCGCGGCGTTCGGTGCTATGGTTGCTGAAATGTGTATACATCCCAGTCATTGTTTTCTGAGCTTGTTTTCGGTGGTGCGAATTTGCGACCTTCCCGCATGCAACATAAACACCCTTCAATGCATCCGCCCCTCCCCCCCCCCCCCCCGCCCCACCCCCACCCCCGAGCGCCGCCCTTGACCCCCGCCTCCCCGAATCCTTGCGCGCGCCCAGCGCCATAACCGTGTTAGCGAACGCCCTTGCTCGATAATAACAGGGGGTGATGGGAGAGGATTGGCGGAGGGGTGGGGGAGGAGGCGGGGGGGGGAGGGCGCGGCGGGGGAGGAGGGGGATTGAGGAGGGAGGGAGGAGGAGGGGAAGGAGGAGAAGGAGGATAATGACAAGGAGGAGAAGGAGGATGCTGAGGATAAGGAGAGGAAGGGGGGGGGGTCAGAGAACCCCGCCCTCCCCCTCCTCGATGCAAGCCCAGGCAACATGGCTGGCATGGGCCTGAACATCGAAGACTGCGTCACTGGCGGAGGTGGAGGCGGCGGCGGCAGCGCTTCTGCTTCCGCGCGCGGCGGCGGAGCAGGCCGCGGTCGCGGCGGCGGGCGCGGGCGCGGGCGCAAGGAGGCGCGATGGGGGTGAACGCGCCCTCTTATTCCACCTTCCTCGTCACTCCATCCACCTTCTGCTTCTCCTGGTCACTCCTTCCACTTCATTCCTCTTCCTCCTAAGTCAAAATTCCGAATGCCCCCCCCCCCCCCCCCTCGACAAAAAAACTTAACACTTATGGCTAACGACCTCGAACGCAGCGCGGCCGTCCGCTCGCGGGCAACGAAGGGCGCGCATGCTTTACATAGTCCAACCTCACTCTTTCTTCTCCAGTCATTCCTCCTCCCCGCCAGCCTGCGAGTGTCTCCTCAATATCTAGCGCTCTTGGCCCTCCTGTCGAGATCTGGCCCCTCCAGCCGCTGCCTTGCCTTTCCCTCGCCCGCCCCCCCGCGCCCGCCCGCTGCCGATGCGAGGCCGCGCCCGGAAGCGACGTCGAACTCGATGGCCTCTGAGGGCCAAACTTCGAAACCGAGGTTGCGCCCGAGAACGCTCGAAGGCAGCCCCCCCCCCATCGCTCCGCCGACGCCGCCTCTTCCCCCCTTCGCCGCGCAGGCCGACCCCGTGCTGATGAAGCTGCAGAAGGCCCGCGATGATCTCCTCACGTTCGACGCGAAAGCTCTGAAGGGCGAGACCGGTTACAGCGACGTGGTCGCTTGCGTCGCGGACTACCTCTCGGAGAGCATTTGGAGGGTGAAAGTGGGGGTCGGCCGCGGGGCCCCGGCAATGATGTCTTTATGGGCCATGAATGGGCGATGCGTCCTCGATTGCTGTGGTCGGCGGGGGAACTAATGGAAGCCCCCCGCTTGCACCCATGCGCGACGCTCGAAAGGAAAGGAAGCAAGGGGGCGGGGGGCTCGGGAAAGGCGACGAAGGCAACGTGCGCTGAGGGCGCAAAAAGAAAAGGCTGGAACACACGAAAGCGGCCATGTGAGTGTCGAAATCTGCCCGGCCAATCTGACATGCGGAACAAAACGCCTCAGTGTTGGGGATCTTGAAGGCCAGGGCAAAATGTGAATTCACATTGTGGGGGAAAGCAAAATGTGAATTCACATTTCGGGAAAAAGGAAAATGTGAATTCACATTTTGGGAAAAGGAAAATGTGAATTCACATTTTGGGAGAAAAGTGGGCCCCAATCCAAATCTGTCTTGGGGGTCGAGAAGTCATCGTTTGGGAACATACACGATCATCAATCGCACAATCAAGACATACTTGCACTCCACTTCGCTGCCCCACGCGCAATATGCAAGAACCCCCGCACGCATGAACGATAATGGATGGACGGCGCGTGTGCCCGCGCGGGCAACGCGCGGGCACGAACGACTGGCCCTCAATGACCGCCAACATTGGATGCCAATCGTACCCGTTCACATACATGAACGATACATTGAGCATACGTGGGCAGTTCAGCCCCCATTGAAGACCCCCTGTTGCAGACCCCCTCTTTCACCCTCCAAAGCATGTTTTCGGATCGTTTCGTTCGGGTCGGGTGAAGACGGTGGCGAGGGGGGGGGGGGGGGCGGCAGGTGTCTCGGCCTCAGCCTCAGCCTGCCTCAGCCTCAGCCTGCGTCAGCCTCAGCCTCAGCCTCAGCCTGCCTCAGCATCAGCCTGCCTCAGCCTCGGCCTCAGCCTGCCTCAGCCTCGGCCTCAGCCTGCACCAGCCTCAGCCTCAGTCTGCCTTCAGCCTCGGCCTCAGCCTCGGCATTGCGCGCAGAACGGCCGCGTAATGCATCGGCAGAGCACGCGGAACTGGAACATGTTAGATGACGTTTCCCCGAGGTTGGACTTCGGAGATGGGGGGCGAGGAGGGGGCATGGACAAGAAGGGGGAGGGGGGAGAAGAGGGCAGAGGTGACCAGGAGGAGGGGATGAAAAAGGATGGCCAGGAGGAGGTGGGCGAGGAGGGGGAAGCGGGCGGGGAGGGGCAGGAACAGGCTTGGGAGGCATGGTGGGTGGGGTGGGGTGGGGCGGGGCGGGTGGGTGGGCGGGCGGTGGTGGTGGGTGTGGGGTGTGTGTGGGTGGGTGGGTGGGGGGGGGGGGGGGGGGGGGGGGCGGGCGGAGGAGGGAGGAGTAGCAGCGCGAGGAGACGACATCGCAATACTTTCCCACAGGCGGTGAGCAGCATGCTCCTGAAATTCATCAACAACAAAGACTGGTGCAAGCAATGCGGGCTGCTGGCGAAGTCGGCCAAGAAGGCCAACGCTTCGTCTGTGTTAAAGAGTGGTCTGGAACCTATGGTGTGTTATTTTGTTCCTGAGGTCCTCCAGGGGTCCTGAGGTTTTGTTCCTGAAGTCCTCCAGTGGCCCTGAGGCGGGGCGTCCGAGGCCTTCCTGGAGTCCTCCAGCGAGGAGTTTGGACACCTGCCTCCTGAAAACCAAATGGTTTTCAAATGATACCCAGAAGCGCCCCCAACAGTTTCTGATGATCACAGACATGCGCAGAAGTACCACGTATACCCAGAATATGTGATCTCCTGCCGCGTCCAAACATGCCCATAATGACCTTGTTCTGGTGCCTCAGAATTACCTCGCATGCCAATTCCCCTACCTTCAATCACCTGCATGTTGAGAACTGTGGGCATCCCCTGGTTTTGCTTTGCTGCTTGCCCTTTCCGCCCCCCCCCTCCCCCCCCCCCCGTCGCCTTCCCTTTCCTTCGTGCCCTGGCCACCATCAGCATTTCATGTTTATCGTTTATTCCCAGCCTCTTCCCCCTTTCCTGCTCCGTTTCATTCTGCCCCCGCCCCTTTCCCTTTCTCGGACGGCGAGGCCGTGGATGGGGGGGGGGGGGGGGAATGGGCGGGGGGGGAGGGGGGGGGGGGGGCGGGGGGGGCCGAGGAGCAGGAAGGTGTAAACGAATGATACATGATTGGGGGGGGGGGGGGGGGGGGAGGCGCAGGGGATGGAGGAGGAAGTTGGCGGGTCGGAGGAGGAAAATGGATGGGGACATGGTCTCGGTCGGGGGTGAGGTGAGGGGTTCGAGGTTGAAGGTTAGTCAGATGCGAGGGTGTCGTTGGGCAAAGGAGGGAGAGGATCAACGTCGCCCACCCAATCCTGATGCCCAGGTGCTGTGCGATCTCCGCAAGTACGGCGGCGTCATCGGGGAATGGGCCACGGACCCGCGCCCGAACAACAAGAAGGTCGAACAGAACCTGAAGCCGTTTCAGGACAGCGCCGTGGAAGCGCTGGGGGTCCTCAAGGTGGCCATCTAGATTCGTCATCGACATGACCGTCTAGGTGGTAGGAGTCAGCGCCAGAGAGAGAGAGAGAGAGAGAGAGAGAGAGAGAGAGCGAGGGGCAGGTCGTCACTCGTCGAATCCTCTTCAGTTCAGTCGTTAGTTTCTCGTCAGCTTCCACCTCCCTCCCCCCCCCCCCGTCCCCATTCCTCCCCCATCAGCTTATCGGCCCCCTCCTCATCTCCTCATTCCTCCCCCCCTCCCCCCTTGGATGGGCGCGGCAGGGGCGCGAGTGGGCGGCGTCGGAGGAAGCGCGCGGCAGGCTGGGGAACATAGACCAAGGAGGAACGCGCGCCATATTGGGGAGGGTGGGCAGAGAGGGCGCGGAGTGGAAGGAACCAGATCAGGTGGAGTCGGGGGGGGGGGGGGGGGGGGATTGCGAAGGAGGAGGGGGAAGATGAACCGCAAGGACCAGAATAGGTGGAGTCGGGAAGGCGGGGGGGGGGGGGGGGGGGATGACGGCGAGGCAGCAGGCCAGGAGCTGGGAAGCTAGCGAGAGAAAGAGAGGTGCCCGCCGTGCTCTAGCGTGCTGTAGCGTCTGGGGCTATCACAGGCTAGCCCCGGCGCCGTTCGCCTCTGCCATCCCCAGGGCGAGACAAACGGGGGTGCTCGGCTTCGCCCTACCTGAGCCCACTCCATCCTCTGAGCACTTCTCTCTCTACCCCCATACATCCTGCACTGCACTCTATTCCTTTCTCCCCCCTCTGCCCCTTCCATCAAGTAT